GCCCCGCAGGAGCAGCTCGGGCCCAGGCCTGTCCAGCCCGCCCCTGGCCGCGCAGACCGTGGTGCCCCTGCGGCACTGCAAGATCCCGGAGCTGCCGGTGGAGCGGAGCGTCCTGTTCGAGCTGCAGCTCTTCTTCTGCCACCTGGTCGCCCTCTTCGTGCACTACGTCAACATCTACAAGACGGTGTGGTGGTACCCGCCCTCGCACCCACCCTCGCACACCTCGCTGGTAAGGACCCCGCCACGCGCCACCTCCCGAACCTGTGGGAAGTCGAGGAAACCAGCATTGCTTTTCCTGGGCTCGCAGCCCTGGCGACGCCGTCCCGTTGCGCCGCCATGCCGGACCCGGGAGGCGGCTTCGGACACGGCGCGCGGCGACGCCTGCGCTACGCAATTGTGGCAGGAGCATGCTCGGGTCGGGTGCGTCGTGGCTTCTTACCCTGGCTGGGGAAATGCCGCGTAGCTGCGTCCAAGAAGGCAGCTTTCCTGACCTGCTCTTCTGGCACGGTTCGGTACCGGCCTTGCACCCAGTTCATCGAAACAGGAGTCTTCTCCCTCGCTTGCTCCGAGGGCCGTACGGCTGAGCAAGCAAAATGTGGGGGCACTTGAACCCCAAGCCTCCAGGCGTGGGCCTGCACGTAGGACACCTGTCAAAGGATTTGGAAATACCTGAAGCCCCAGGTGCAAGTGGAGGATGTTTGCTGGTATGGTTCTGGACTCTTGGGTTCAGAACTAGTTTTGGCTGATTTGGGTGTCTCCCGTTAAACATGCAGGTGCCTGGAATCGGTTCCGTTTTATGCAGACCAGCCCGGTGGTGCTGGTAGATTTCTCAGCGAGTCTTAGGGCAAATTTTAGGCACCCTGACACCAGGCATGTTGGGGAGGGAGGAGGAGGAATGGCTTGGGTGACTTGCCCATTGCCTGTGGATTTTCTGCTGCCTGTCAGAAAATAGTGAGGTACCCCTTCGGTCATTGCAGAACTTCCATCTCATCGACTTCAACGTGCTGACGGTGACAACCATCGTCCTCGCGCGCCGGCTGATCGGTGCTATTGTGAAGGAGGTAAGGGCTCAGACCGGTGAGCGTTGTCTCCCCTTGTCTCTCTGTATTTGGGGCACAGGAGGTAGATGAATGCAGCAAAGTGGGCACAGAGCAGCAGTTCTCAACCAGGGTGAAGCAGTGTCCGGGGGTGCTGCAAGATCTTTTTAAAGGGTGTCACAGATGCAGTGGAGTACTAGCACAGTTGGGTCTGCAAACACCTACCCGTGTTTCACAAGCTAAACCTGGAGATTTCCAGTAGGCATCCACCATGTCATCCTGCCCTGCTGCTGGCTTTAGAGTGCTGAAAAATTGCTCAGGTATTTTTATGCAGTCAAAAAACACATGAAAGCAAAGAGCTGGCATTTTGCAAAGGGGGTCTTAAGTCTAATGACAGGCACCTTGAGTGTAAAAAGGCTGAGAACCTCTGGCCTGGGGCCCTAGTCAGGGCAACATAGCAGGCACCAGTAGTGGGAGCTGGTGCCAGGTGCTGCACCCAAAAAAGTAGTGCTCCGCGATGAAAATGTAGGGACTCTAAGTACGACTCCGTATCAGGTTGGCCTGACCAGTTATAACCTTCTCAGGAACAAAGGGAGGAGTGGAAAAGCAGAATGGAGGTGGTTGGTGAGACTAGGAGGATTTCTGTGCTGGTTTGTAAATTTGAAGGTGCAGCGAGGCCCAGGATTATAGTTCAGAGTGACTAGAAAGCTTGCGTGCCCTGAAAGCTTCTCCCTTTCTCTTGCCCTGTTCTCAAAGCCTATGAGCTCAAGCTGTAACAGAGCCCAGGCACCATCTCTTTCAGCGTGTCTCAGTCCTTTCTTGCCTTGTGTTCCCTTTCCAAATCCCAGTGTGTTTTGGACCGCAGTGACTCTGCTCTCTTCCTCAAGGGAAATTTTGGTGTTTGGCTTCCTTCACCTTTTCCCCTGCTTCTAGTCAGAGGAAGCTGCCGACCTCAGCAGGGTATATTCACAGGTAGATTCTGCTTCAGAGTCTTTCTACAGGAAGGCGGAAGCTGGAGATGGCGCTCTTTTCCCACTGTATACATGGGAACAGGCTGATCCTTGTCTTCAGGCTGATGTTGGTGACCTGTCAGGGTACCAGCCTGTGCATGGTGCACAGTTGTTTGGTCTTGGGCAAGCTCTGGATAGATGCTGATCTACACTGGGCCTGTCCCACCCAATGGCAGTACCTTGAGGTCACTGCTTCTGCGATAGCTTGGTGTTGGCGTGGAGGGTCCAAGCAGTGATTCAACATGACACTCATTTCCAGAAGAAGGGGAGGTTGTTTGACCTGGGGTTGCAGCCTCCAATGCGGTCACAGCGCTTCTCAGGGGGTGTGGGTCCCACTGACGTTCCCTTGGAAGAGTTGGGCTTGCTGCAGAAGTGGGGCCTCACTGGGACAGACTGGGAACCGCTGGTAACTTCTGCCCTGCTCTGCCTCCTCTTCCCTGCAGGCTTCACAGAGTGGCAAGGTCTCTCTGCCGCGCTCTGTCCTCCTGGTGATCACTCGCTTTGCTGTTCTCACCGGGACAGGCTGGAGCCTGTGCCAATCAATAATTCACCTCTTCCGGACCTACTCATTCCTCAATCTCCTGTTCCTGTGTTACCCGTGAGTATCTCATCCCCCAGCTGAGCTGAGCTGATGAATCCTTAATGCCGCCTCTCCGATCAAACCATGTTCAGAGCCCACATGGGGCAAGATGAGGCTTGAAAGCAAACAAGCTCTTGACTCCCTTGCACTTAGTTTTCTCTTTCTTGACAGATCATAAGGACCACATGGAGTTAGCTTGAGGCTTGGGTCCTTCCCTGACTATCGCAGCCTTTCTAGGCATCGGCCAGAGTGTGCCCCTTGGCCGGGATCTCTGAAAAGGCCCTGCCTTGAGACTTCCTGAGCTCTCCAAAAAGTCCCATTTCTCTCCAGCTTGCCCTGGGCTAGTGCATTTCCTCAGCTTCCCCCTCCTTGCATTGATCAACTCAGGCACCTTCTCCCTGTCTTGTATTAACCACAACTCTGGAGCCAGCTCCCATTTTCATTCCAGGAGCAGAATTGCTTCCCCGGTCCATTTTCCTTGCCAGGTGGAGAGCAGGGGGGGAGGGCTGAGTGCTGTGCACAGATGTGGTTCAGGTGTAGAATGGCCCTGTGCCACCACAGTGAGAAGCATCTGCTGAAGGGCTGGGCCTTACCTCCACCACCTCTGAAGGGGTAAAAGGTCGGTGACAGTGATTGGAGGTCAGAGATCTGAGTTGGGGGGGACCTGCAGGTGACCCTGTGAGCATGGATAGTGCAGAGATGGAAGAGTTTCACATGGCTGCTGGTGCAGATCATGAAGGACCATCTTTTTGGCTGTGTCCCCTTCCAGGAGATGAACTAGCTGCTGGAACGGGTCCCAGCATGAAGCTGTAATATCATCTGGAGCTTAGCAGCGCACATCCAGAATCTGCAGGGCATTTTAGGCGGACCTAATAACTGCGTCCCTTGCCAGAAACCTCCAGTAGATCTGTGACCTGGTTGGATCCTTTTAGGAGTTGCACAGATATCAGCCTTCAAAGTCCTAGACATCATGCAGTGTCTGGCTAATTCTTTCCACTGCAGGGAATGGCTTGGGACTGGTACCGCTGTCACAGTCTGTTCACCCATTCTGCTCTTCCAGGTTCGGCATGTACATTCCCTTCCTCCAGCTGAACTGTGACTTTCGGAAGACAGGCCTCTTCTCACAGGTGGCCAACATTGGCCCGCGAGAGACAGGAGACATGAGCTCCCGGGGCAAGGACTACCTGACAGTACTGAAGGAGACATGGAAGCAGCACACCAGGCAGATGTACGGGATGGAGGCCATGCCCACCCATGCCTGCTGCCTCTCCCCGGACCTGATCCGCAATGAGGTGGAGTACCTGAAGATGGACTTCAACTGGAGGATGAAGGAAGTGCTGGTGAGCTCCATGCTCAGTGCCTACTACGTTGCCTTTGTGCCAGTCTGGTTTGTGAAGGTGAGTGAGGGCTGTGAACTCTGATCCCACGTGCTCCTCTTGGGGTTTCATTTGACTCCTCTTTGTAGCTGTGGCCAGACTGGATGCTAAAGCTATGGGAGATGTGACGTTGTAACCAAGCAGGTCTCACCCCCCTGTCTGTAGAGTAGGTGAGATGACTCAAAGGGCTGTTCTGTGCACAGAGGGGGCTGGGGGACATGTCTTCTGAGGGAACTAGGCTTATTTAGTCCAGAGAAGAGGAGACTGAAGGGGGATTTAATAGCAGCCTTCAACTACCTGAAGAGGGGTTCGAAAGAGGATAGAGCTGGACTGTTCTCAGTGGTAGGAGATGGCAGAACAAGGAGCGGTGGTCTCACGTTGCAGCAAGGGAAGTTTAGGTTGGATATTAGGAAGAATTTTCTCACTAGGAGGGTAGTAAAGCACTGAAACAGGTTACCCAGAGAAGTGGTAGACGCTCCATCATTGGAGGTCTTCAGAACCCAGCTAAACAAAGCTTTGGCTGGGATGATCTAGTTGGAATGGTCCTGCGTTGAGCCAGGGGGTTGGACTAGATGTGACCTCCTGCAGTCTGTTCCAACCCTCTTTCCATGATTCTATGACTCTCTGCATTTGCTGGCGGGATGTGGAGTGGAAGGCAGGTTGATTCCCCAAGAAATAAAAGCTGGGACCTAACAGACCCCAGCAGGTCCTAGCGTGCACAGTGCTTCCCTTGACTTGGGCAGTTGTGTGCATGTGCGTTCATGGGCCAGTAATCACAGTCATGGTCCCTAGAGCTGAAGAAGGGAGGAGGCCATTTTGTTCATAGCAGTGTTTGGTTAAGGAGTCTCTTGTGACCACTCCAGGACAGGAATGATGGGGACTATCTCCTGTCCTGCAGTCCTCTATTAAAATCCCCCTCCTAGAGCTCAGACCACTACAAAGGAAATACTGGCTCTGGAACCAAGAATGGAGCTAGGAGCAACCCCCATGTGGGTGTAGCTCCTTGGCTGCTAGGATGAGGCCCAGGTTCATTTGGCCAAGTGCCCTGTGCCTTGACTGCCCTTTAACAGCAGGTCTGGCTGCTTCTCTCATCCCCCAGAACACGCAGTACTATGACAAGCGGTGGTCATGCGAGCTCTTCCTCCTGGTCTCCATCAGCACCTCTGTGATTCTGATGCAGCATCTCCTACCAGCCCGGTACTGCGACCTCCTCCACAAAGCCGCAGCTCACCTGGGCTGCTGGCAGAAGGTGGATCCGGCCCTCTGCTCCAATGTGCTCCAGCACCAGTAAGGAACTCCCTGGCTTGGGACAGGCAGGGGGTTGCTCTTGGTGTGCACTGCCTCAAATGGGGCTGAGGCAGGGAGTACATCTGCCGTGCACCCAGTGGAGAGATACTGTTTCCCTTTGCACTTTGCTTAGCAGCAGGTGAAAAGCAACCAGATCTGCCTCCTGTGTCTGCTTATAAACCTAAGTCCACAGGAGCAGGAGCTATCCTGGCCCCATCCAGCTGCCCTGAGCGGCCCCTTCCCTGCTGTGGTAGGTGTGCACTGGCTTAGTGCAAATATTGTGCCATCAGAAATGACTGCCGTCCTGACTCTGGGTGTAGCGCCAGCATCCACAGCTGAATGGGTGTGGGTGGCCACAGCCAGCCCTGGTCCAAGAAGGGGCTGAGGGAAGGCCTGCTGGTTTCTCTTGCAGGTGGACGGAGGAGTGTATGTGGCCTCAGGGGGTCCTGGTGAAACACAGCAAGAACGTGTACAAGGCCGTGGGCCATTACAACGTGGCTGTGCCATCTGACGTTTCGCACTTCCGCTTCCACGTAAGCTGGGCCCCTCCTTTATTCGAGTCAGTTACAGTTTCCGTATCGTTGGTGCCCACAGCTTAAGCTAGATGAATAGAGAGTCGCTGAGTGGGGGCAGTTACTGCCAAGGTCAGATAACAGGAGGGAGACAGCCAGGGCTGAGACAGTGACAGTCTTGTACCTCTCCTCAAGCCCGCCATCTTTGGCAGCTTTCCAGAAAGGACCCAGGCAAACTGACCGTCAGTGTGAGAGCACCAAAGCCCTCCATTGAGAGGGAAGTGGAGATGTGCTGCTGTCTCTGGAGGCAAGATCCTCCCAGGGCTGCATCCTATGTGTAGAGCACTCTAGGTGGAAAGCCTGGCTTGCCTGCCCTGCCTTACTGTGTTTTTTTTCTCCCCCAGTTCTTTTTCAGCAAACCCCTGAGAATCCTGAACATCTTAATCGTGCTGGAAGGAGCTGTCATCTTCTACCAGCTCTACTCCCTGATTTCTTCGGAGAAGTGGCACCAGACCATCTCGCTGGCTCTGATCCTCTTCAGCAATTACTACGCCTTCTTCAAGCTGTTGCGGGACCGGCTGGTGCTGGGAAAAGCTTACTCATACTCGGCCAGCAGAGACTCAGAGCAGAAGCTAAACTGAAGCACTTGGTCTGCTCCTCAGCTTGTTACAAAAAAATACAAAACAGGAAAAACAAAACCCCAAAACAACCAACCTCAGAGCTTTGTATTTTTGTTACCACTGCTTTTTTTTCTTTGATAACTGATGTAATTAAAAGGAAAAACCATATTTTTTTACTCCCAACCACTGTTTGCCTGGTTGCTGTGGCCAGATTCCAAAGTTTCACCCTTCTCCTTTGCTGTCCCTTTCATGACCACGTGCCGTCTGTCTGTGAGGCAACAGATCTGACTTGGGTGGCTGAGGCCTTGTCTACAGGAGGTTGTACTTGATTAAACCAGGCTTGGGACCTTGAGGTGGGGCAGTGCTGTCATGCAGGTGTTTCTTCCGGCTCCAGTGCCCATCTCTGAGCTGCAACCTGACTAAATGCCCGTCAGCACTTCACCACCATGTCAGGGCAGTTCCTGTTTAATCAAGTCTCAGCTTCACCTCATTAAAAAACCCTGTAGCTCAAAATCCAGCCACGCCTGTTTGTCTCCCTTTGGGGCTCCGTTCATGCTGTGATTCCAGCCACTTTGCTCTGGTTCTTATGCTGCCTTCTGCCTGGGCTGCAGCCCTCACCCAGGCTGGGTTGCAACCACTGTGGGTTGGAAATACTTGGGAGAACGGGAGTATTCTGAAAATACATCTTGATTTGAAAAACTGTGGCTTGGACCCTCTGCAACACTCAGGGGAGGAGTAGTGCCTGGAGCTGTACAATAAGGCGTGTGTGTCAACTAGCTCAATGAATTTGTGATTCCAACTCCATGTGGTTGTACAGGAAGAGCTGCTAGAATGGGGGGGAAGTGGCTTGCACCCCAAGTTTCTAGGACAGGCAGGTTACTGATGAAAGACCTGCTGTAAGTGCCTGTAATGTCAGCCAGTCTGGATACCAAACCTGTGTTTAGCCATACCTAAACCCACCCTCTTTCCATAGGCAAGTGAGTGGAAGGTGAGCAGTGAGAGCTTTGAAACCTGCAAGGGAAAAATGTTACTAGTCTCGTGATCTTGGATGACAGCAATGGCTGCCATCTGGAACTGGAGTGAGCAGAAGAGTGGGGAGGGGCTGTTCAGAGCCATTTAGTAGCAGTGACTAACCTGGAGATGGGAAAGCCTGGCCTTTTCAGTGACACTGCTCAGGGTACATGTTCCTGGGTGCTGGAGTGTCCCAGCAGGGCGCTGGCACAGCCCTCACTCAGCAGTCATGTTGGTAAACTGAAAAGCAGGTTCTCACCTCCCACAGCAGAAAAGGGAGCCCTGACATCTTCAAACCAGCCCCTGCAGGTCACCTTTAAAAGTCAGGTGGGCTCGCTGTCCTCAGCCCCCAAGGCTAGGAAGGGCTCTCCACTTTCAGCCACATGGTTCAGAAGCAGCAGGAGGTTGCAGATGTAAAAGACAAGGCAGGCCCAGGGTGCACCCCCGTGAGCTCAGATGAGTGTCACGGTGGATCACAGTTGCTGTGGCTACGGACTGTGATGCGCCCACTGCAGAGCAGGTTAGCCCTTCCTGGCCCCACAGTGTGGGCAGTTTGCGTCCTGCTGTTCTTATTGCCCTGGGAGATAAAGAGTTTGAGCAGGAGGAGGTGTTTCTGGGGATATAGATTTGGGGGGTGTCACGTTGGAGATGGTGGCAGGAGTGTGTTGAAAGGCTGTGGGGGGGGTGTAATAATGGTGGGCTGGGGCGTTTCTGGGAGATATACATTGGGAGATGCACTGGAGGCATCAGGGATGTGTTGGGGGTGTTTCTGGGAGATACAAATGTGGGGGTGCATACCAGGATTTGGAAGGGAGGTGAGTGGCTAGCCATTAAGTTTTTGATTAAAGTGTGTGAAAGACTTTTTTGAGAAATTAAATCCTAGAAAAAAAATGAAGCTGTGAAGTAAGGGTGCCTGGAAAGCAAGGAGGGGCAATGGCAAACTTTTCCTGCCTAACTCCCCTTTCATCTCCTATATGCTAAACACCTGTTCCACTGAGTGCCCAGTGACTACACCCATGATATTTTCACCACCCTATCTGTCAAAAGTCTGCTGTACATCTGGGGGAAAAAACCTTAAAATGCCAACCTGTAATTGCGGGATTAGATGGGACTGCATGGAAACAAGCCCAGTGCTTGCGTTCTGGA